GAGGGCATCTGTAAAGCACCGAGCTGGGATGGAGCTGGGCCCAACAGTGGGTTTCAATAAAGCACAAATTCCTGCAGGAATGACTTTTGTCTGTGGTTCAGTGTAAAGTCCCTGGCCTGACTCCCATATCAAAGTGCTGCCCTGAGTGACGGGCGCAGGACACACTTTGTACTGCTCAGAACTCATTAGGCCATGAAATACCTTCATCCTGCCAGGACAGGAAAGAACAGCAGATGCCGGGTTTGCATTATCGGTGTTGTTTAGTCCAACCATCTTTAGACATTTGGGTCAAGTTTCTACAAATTCACAGCTTTCATCCGAGCGGGGCATCGTGTGTCCTCACCCCCCACCCTGACCCCCGTGGCTGATGTCCCTCTCTGGTCCTGCCCTTTGTGTGTCCACAACTGACCATGCACCGAGGTTTGATTTAATTTCTGCCTATGCCAGGGCATAAATCAAAGCTTCAGCTTGGATAAGAGGCCCATGGTAAGCCTGGAGGGAAGGCTCTGGAGGGTCCACTCCACCTGCTTCCTTCTCCTCTCCATCCTTCACATCTCCTCCTCCTCTATCCCCCTTTCCTGCCCCATTGCCTCACCTCAGGTTTTCCTCAACCCCTTTTCCCCTGGACACTGTTCCTGCTCATGTTCTATTTCCTAAAATAAGCAGCTGTGTGCTCAACCCTTTAAGCATCATTAGGTTTCAGGAGCAACACTCCAGTAAGACTTAAGGGAGAGGGAGGGGAGTTCATAAATCTCCCTGGGAGTGATCTGTGGGCTCAGGCAGCATGAGCACATCAGTGACAGCCACTCCATGACCAGGAGGTTTGGCTTGGAACCGTGGGGTGGGCAACTGGCTTTTCCCTCTCCACGTCTGTCAGCCTTGTCCAGACTCCCTGGGAACCAGCCTGGGGGACAACATGCTGCCTTCAAAGCGCCCTTCTTGTGGTGGTGAATGCACACACACCCTTAAAAGGCAGTGACTTCCGTGTAAGCAGAGGAATTCATGTCATTTGTTTAAGCGATCTCTGGAACTAACAACAAGGTACTGGGCAGCAATATCCTGAGGTTGCAACAAGCAGTAAAATCAGCTTATGGACTCATTCAATGCAAAGGGCTTGGGAAAAGGGCAATCAGACCTGCAGGAAACCCCAGGAAACAGCCTACAGAGACAAGTGACTGGGATTTTCCCACTCTAGCTGTAAGACACCTGCACAAAGCTGGACCTCACCTGCCTGAGCTCTTGCTGGGATTATCTGTCCCCGAGGGCAAAGCCAGGGAGAGCCCAGGGGCTGCCGGCGCTGCGCGTGCTGCTCTCTGGGAGACATTTGGCTAAAGCCGTCTGCGCGATCTGCTGCAGAAGTGGCTAAAAATAACCCAGCCGTGCTCAAAGAACAGGCACCACTGATGCAAATACCCCACTGCACAAAAAAAAAGCGCGCTTTTCACGGTTAAATGCAGTAAGTAGGGAGGTGGGCTCGGGGGCCTTCGGCTCCACCTGTCCCCTATCTGTCCGCGCGGCGCCGATGTCGCCCAGCACGGAGCCATCCCAGCAGCCCAAGGGGGTCAGCACAGTGGGGCCCTGCCCGGGAGCGTCGCTGCCACAGGCACAAGGAGGTGTCGCAAGCTCTTAAATAAACAACACGTACTGATAAGCAGGGGGGTTACTTACACTTGCATGGAGTTTTCCTTTTTTTGACATCGCTAAAAATTTGTTGCTGAAAAGTCCTCGTATTCCTACAATCCCCTGAGACACAGCAAATATTTCCAAAATACCTAGGATGACAGAAATCCCAAAATAAATCACAGTTCTTTTCACATCGGTGTGACACAGAAAAAACAAATACAACTCAGTCCGACAGGTTTGCATTTCCTTTCCCACATCCCTGCTCCTCAGCACCCTGGCTCCACACAGCTCCAGCTCCATCCCTCCACCCTGCAGAGCCACCTCCATCTGCTTCAGGGTGGATACAGGGTGGTGGTGGGGGCTTGGGTTTTTTTAAAAGCTGCATTTTGAGGGACAATTCTTGGCAGAACTATGACAGAACCCCTGGGGAAAACTCTCACAAGAGTGGGAGTGGGAAAAGCCCCCTGTGCCTATGCCAGCCTACCAGGATCAGCCTTGCCCATCCTCCTCCTGCACATGCCGGACTCGGGAAGTCAAGCTGTCACACAGTCCACCTGGGCTAGAGGTACCGATGGTGCTCCCTCAGGCCCACCCCTCACAGCAGGATTTGAGGAATGGGCTGCTGCGTGGCCCAGCCATGGAAGAAATGGGAATTCTCTGAGTATGATGGGGCTCTGGCCCCCAAAAGGAGGCGTGTTCCCTGCAACTCAGCTGACAGAAGGGCTGCAACCGGCGAGCATCCCTCAGTAACAGCACCGACACGTCACCTTCCCATGCGGTGTGCGGTTCCCGGAGCAGAGGGTCAGGCCTCCCCCCAAACCCTTCTAGCCAGGATCGGCACCACATCCTCAACACGCCCTTCCCGCCCTGGGGAAGCACCATTGCTGCCCGGCTGCAGCCCCAGGGGGTTGGTGGCCCCAGGCCTGGAGGAGGGACCCCATGAAACATCTTGCCTGGCCCCCAAAGGGCCATGGGATTAACATGCCAGGAGCAAACTTGAAGCCACACTAAATCCCCGAGGCCGGGTATCGGATCACCACTTCCCGTGTTTATTTTGAGGAAGCACAGCTCCCTAGGCACCCAGGCCCCAGCACCAAGGGCCTCGGAGGCACTTTTCAGGGCTGGTGGGCCACCTCTCCTTGCCCAATGTGCCCTAGGCCAAAAGCCGCAGGTCTGTGCAGCCCCAGTGCAGCAAGGTAAGTACCTTCTCCAGCACATGCCTGTCCTCAAGGGCACCCCAAAACCTGCTGCCATTTGGGGGGTGGCCCTGCTGGCTGGCAGACATACTCCTGGTTATTGGGGTTGCCTGGGGTCAAGCCCCATTTCCCAGGGGCCAAAGCTGGGGTTTGCTTGCCAAAAGCCAACTGCTTCCCCATGAGGGACAGTTCCTCAGCCTGAAACCCCAGCACAGCTCCTCTCACCAGAATGTTTTCCCAGCCAGGGCTGGCTCCACTCTGAAATGCAGAGCTGGTGCCACCGTGGCTTTTATGGGGAAAAAATGTCAGGTTAAGGAGGAAGGAATATCGCATAATCCAGGTCCCTGCAAGACAGCTGTGGCACCAAACCTCTGCCAGTCCTTCCAAACTCAAGTCTCTCAAAACAGTCCTGGAATGGATGCCCTCTTTGCCCATCCTTCCCCTAAACCCCTCCAGGCCATGTGCCTGCAGCGCCCATAAAGCCCCGAGCAGAGTTCCGAGGCTTCCAGCATCCCTGGCCAGGGGCTGCCCTCCCTCGTGGGGCCTCAGCACAGACTGGGGCCCGAATACTTCGGTATTCAGGGAAGATGTGGTGGCTGCTCTGTGAGCGCTCCCAACAACTGAGCCTCGTATGCTGCCAGGGTCACCTCGGGCCCAAGCCCTCAGGCTCTTTAAGGGACTTTTCATCCCCACCTGCCGTTTCATTCCCTCTAACAGGATAAACCATGAGTTAGCACAGCTTTCTCTCGGGAACCTCAGCCTCAATCCTATTTTTAAATGGAATATATCCTATTGCTGTGCTGGGAGAATGAGAATGCAGTGGGAAGGATGGGAAAGTTCCACAGGAAAAGGACAGAAAAGGGAGAGCATCCTCTCCCCAGGTGTCTGACAAGGGGCTATGGTGGGAGTGCAGACCTCACTCCCTCACACTATCCCCACAGACTCACTTCCTCGAGGCGGTTGAACCCCCAGGTGGTGCTTCCCAAAGCGAGCCAGGCAGCTCCCACGGAGCCCAAAGAGCACAGCCACCCCAGCACCCCCTTCCCGAGGCCGCCAGGGCTGCAGCTCACTCCAGGCGAGGGTGGCGGCCACGAGGGACTCTGTCACCTCCTTGGAGCTGGGGACACTGCAGGGATGGGGATGAGGATGAGTCTGCTCAGCCCCGCTGCCCCCGCCCCGGCAGCCCCCCAGCCCTCCGGTTCCCCACTCACTGAGCGGACTCGCGTCATGGGCGCCGTCCACACGGCCGTCGGGGTGCAGCTGGAGGTGGAAGCCGATGCCCACTCGGCAGTACAGGCGGCCCCGCCGCCGCTCCGGGCGGCTCCGCGGGAAGCGGCTCGGCCCCGCCGCCGCCTCCAGGGAGGAGGAGGAGGAAGAGAAAGAGGAGGAGGAGGAAGGCGCAGGGGCGTTGCGGCCCCGCTGCGCCCCGCCGGGCACCTGCTGCCGCCGGGCGCGGGCGGGCAGGGCGAGGAGGAGGAGGAGAAGGAGGAAGGACGGGCTCATGATGCCGGCGGGCGGGAGGAGGGAGGGCGCCGCATCCCGCTCCGTTCCGAGGCCCGGCGGGGGAACTGGGCACGGGGGGGGAGCCAGGCCGCCCCTCCCCGCTATTTATAACCGGGCGGCGGCTCCGCACCTGTGCCCGACCCCGCCAGCCCCCCCTGCCCAGTACGAGCGGCAGATGCGGTGATCGGGGGCGCATCCATCTGAGAATTAACTTGTCCGCCTCGCCGGGACGAGGCCGCGGGACCCTGGGGACAGGGTCAAGTTGCAGCCCCCCGCCCGGGGTTCGGGGGGTGACACGGCAGCTGCACGCCCAACCCAGCCCAGCCTCAGGCTGGGGACTCGGGAGTGGGGCTGAGGGCAGCCCCCTGAGCCGCCAAAGCTGCTCTCCATCCCACCCGGGACAGGACAGCCGTGCTCAGCCCTTGAGAGCAGCTCTTGCAGGGCAGTGGGTGGGAGTCCCCATCACGAACCCCCTGACAGCATCTCACAGCCTGTAGGGAAGCTCTGACCATCGTCTGTGCACAACATCCGCTGCAGTTCCCAGGCAGGAGTACACAGCCCTGGCCTCCTGCTGTGAGCCTGGTGACCCACACACGTGCCAGGTGCCCCCCAGCTCTGGCAGCCGTATTTCCTCCCAATTACGAAGACAACTCTGCCACTCAGCACCACGGTGCAAGAGGGGACCCCGCGGCGACAGCCCATCCATCACACCGCACAACTCTGAGCGGATTCCGCTTTCCTTGGCTCCTCGGGCTGCTTGAGGCCCCCAAAGCCACTGGGAAAACCGCATGTCTACAAAAGCCAACACGGGCCAAACGCACCCCACCCAGCCTGCACCTCTGTTCCCTCACTGCTCCTGCCAACCTGCGTACTCCCCTAAATCCCACCTGGGAACCACTCCCCAGCCATCCCCAGGGGTGGCTCTGGCCAGTGGCCTTGGCCAGGCCGTGCACGCAGGGATCAGGTTCAGCAGGAAGGAGGCAGAGCGGGTGGCATGCTGCAGAGTGACCTTCGCATTCCGAGGAAGCTGAAGGTTGGGGGAACAGGGAGGGACACACACTTAAGGGGCCGTATCCTGCCTGGCTGACACCTGGCTCTGCCTGGTGCAAGCAGAGATGATCTCACAGCATTGCTGCAATTTCAAACCATTTCTCAGCACATATATATATATCTCTCCACACAGCTATATGGACACGCATTATATATAGACATGTATATTTAGACAGCCCTATATATAGATGCACATACCTGAAGCAGGGTCAAGGCACTCAAATCTTGTTTACTTCTCCGAGCTGTAGCAGTCGGCCTGGCAAAATCCATGACTTCCACTTACCCACCTCATCCTGAATTACATGAACACGCTGAGTCCGAATTCAGATCCATGAACAGGATGAGGACCTGCAGAGGTTCTGAATCTCCCGTGTGGAGTTTGTGCTGGACCTTCTGTATCAGCTCAGCTGAGGCACACAGGCCACCTTGCTGCACCAGGATCTCCTCTTGGGCATCTTGGTGTAAAGGCTACATCTGCCAGAGGATCATCCTAGGGTAACCTCTGTTCTCCATCTGGGTCAGCAGACCATAAACAAGTGCAAGTTAAGGTGAATGTGACTATGTTTAAAGTTGCCACACTGGAAGTGAGAGGGCACAGCAGGGCACAGCCCAGGAGCAGAAAGGAGGCACCTGCACATCCTACGCAGAGATACCCACCCAAAACTGCCATACTCAGAGGTTCACTAGCAAGATCAGCCTCCCTAATTTTGACCCATGGGTTGACACCAACAGTTTCCAGCAGCCTTTCTGGTGCTGCCCTTGCTGCCACACATCCTCTGCTCACTCTCACTTCTGGATCAGTTTTTCCCCTTCAGTGAAGAATTCCCAGAAAACCCAAACTCCTGAGGAGCATGGCCATTACTGAGGCCACCAAGCAGGCAACACCAGCTGAGTGAGCTTGCCCAGACTGGTCCCCAATACTTGCTGTTGGAGGCAACGCCAGTGCGCTGCATGTTCCCGATCCTTTTTGGGGTGCAGTGAGGCAGCAGAGCCCTTGGGGGTCTCTCATGCACTACACTCTGCTATTCCTGCTGTGGGATGGATACCCTATCTGAGGTGGGAGCTCCTGCCTATCTGCAGGATGCCATCCCCCTCCTCTGGGGACTTCTGCGTGCCTATGAAAGTGATGCCCAGCTGGCTGCGCTGCAGAGAAATGACTCGGACAAGTCCCTGTGGCACATGGCATGTTTTCATCTTCACCATGAAACCCTTAGAACTCCCAAGCAGAGCTTTGGGCCTGAACTGTATAGCCTTAGACGTTTTCATTTGGACCTATTCATTAGCACAACACATCAATTTCAAATAGTGCGGGTGCTTCTGTAGCAAAAGTCAGGGGAAAACCCCCAATCCAGACCAAACATGAAGCTTTAATCTAAATAAATAAGTAGATGTAACAGTCAACTTCTTGGAGTAATTGCGTGTAACTGCCTTTGGCAGTAGCAACCCTCACACACACTCTAGCAGCTTTGGAAGCCTAATGCTGATGTTATGTTACTTAAATTATTCAGGGCTCGGTTACAGAAAAAACTCAGCAAATGAAGAGGATAAGCTGGGTTTCAAGTGTAAAATTCCCCTTTTGAAGATGAGAAGGGCTCTTCTGAGCCTGTTTGATCTGCTGCAGAGCACAGGCCCAGGAGCACTCCCCCCTCCCAACATCAGGCTGGTGTTATTCAATTGCCACTTGAAAATGTGCAAGGTAAAGCATGAGCAGACATGAGACTAGCCAGCGGAGCCCTAGCCCTGGGGTGGCCGAGGATCCAGCCCTGACTGCCCACGGCCCCCAGCAGCACCAGCCGCAGCCTCAGTCCCAGCCAGAGGCCGCATGGGGAGACACACCAGCCTTTCAGCATCACTGGGGTTTTTATCTCTCCCAGAAAGGTTTATTCCACAGCATTACCAGAGCGATATCAGGCTGGATTCACCCTCTCGGCAGGCTGCGGAGCAATGCCACATACTTGCACTCATGCAGGCTCGGGCTGCCTCAGAGTTGGCAGCTCCCCGGAGAACCACTCCCCACACCAGACCTGGGAGCTCGGAAAAAGGCCTTTGTGATGAGGATACGTGGTCTGAAGGATACTCACCTCAGTAGGAGCCGGTGAGAGCATAATTTACACTCCCCTGTGAGCCTCCCCGGGCGCAGGAAGGACCCAGCCCCAAAGCCGTCCCGGGGCTACTGGGGAGGCAGAGCTGCCGCGGGAGAGGAGTCCGGAGCATCATCCTCGCGAAGGAGCCCGCCGGGGCCCCGCGCATTCCGACCGGCCCCGCTCGCCCCGCGGCGGCCCCACTAGATGGCGGTACCCGCCTGCCTCGGCTGCCCCCGGCATCCCCGCAGCGTCCCCGCATCCCCCGGGACCACGGCCCAACATCCCCGGAAATCCCCAAAAGCTTTCCCTAGAAAGAGGAGCTGCAGCGGTGGCACCGCTTTTAAGGAAAGCTGCCGAGAGCAATTAGTGTGTCGCCCCCGCAATTAACGGCAGCAGGTGGAGCCATGCGTATTCCTGTCACAGGGAATGACAGACGGGGGGTCTCTTCGGCACATGGCGTGGTTTGGGGGTTATCGGTACCGTCCCGGGGTCAGCGCGCTGAAGGACGGAACAGCAACACCGGGAAGGTGGACTGTCCATGGCAGGGACCCTCCTAAAACTCCTCAGACGTGCCGCGTCCCACATCTGTGAGGACAGCCAGTGCTGGCTGTCAGTGCTTCTCAGGAGAGACACTCACCAAGTGTGCAGAGTTGTAAGCACGTCCTACCTGAGGCTCCAGGCACTTTCCTGGGAGCTGTAAAGGCTTTGCGGCAGGTCCAGGTACTCCATGAAAACCCCAAACCCCACAGCAGCAGATGCCGGTGGTACCCTCAACCCCCTTGCAAGACAGCGGGCAGCTCCCACGCTCTGCCGGGGGCTTCAGCCTTGCACAGCTCTGGCTTTGGGATATTTTCCCCGCCAGTGACCCATTAAGCCATGTGCAGCCTCATCACTGTGACCCTCTGCCCTCTCCAGGGTGGTGCCAGCTTGTGTGTGGAAATGGGTTTCCCCAGTCTGCTGTGTCCCTCAGGGCCCTTCTGTGCACCCCAAAACCTTCTGGGCTGACACCAGATGCACCCACTGCAGGTGGTGCCCATGGGACCAGACTGTTCCACTGTGCCCAGAGGGGTTCCCCTTTCCTGAGCCCTCCCGTGTTTCCCTGGCTGTGGTGCCATCACGCCCATAAGGCACCAGGGCAGAGAGGACCCACCCTTGGCCCCTTGAAGCACTCCCTGCCCCAGGACACCCCAGGCTGGGGGCTCCTCTAGGCCCTGTCACCCCACCCCCCGGGGCTCTGCTCACCCTGCAAGTCAGGGGCCACCCACAGACCTGGAAAGGTTGGGGAGCAATAAAGGCTCCTGGCAGGAGTGAGGTGGGTGGTGTGGAGCAAAGCAGGGGGCTGAGAGGGGCTGGGAAGGAAAAGGAAAAAAGGGAAAATGGGAAAGAGAGGGAAGAGAGGAAGAGAGAATGGGACAGAAAACGCAGAAAATCTGAAAGAAAAAGAAAGAAAATTGAAAGAAAAGAAAGACAAGCTAAAAGAAACAAATTAAAGAAAACCAAAACCGTGACGGGAAGAGAAAAGGAAGGGAAGGACAGGGTGAAAGAGAGAAATAAAGGGTGGAGGCAACGTCAGGCAAAACCAAAGATGCACAGAGGAAAGATGGATGTCAGAGGGGCCAAAGGAAGGCAGGCGAGCGGGGAAGAAGAGCAGAGAGGACAGGCAGCGCGGTCTGGAATCTCCGCCCTTCCCCGCAGCGCGCCGCAGTCGAGGGACGAATTCCGACCCCGCAGCCACAGGGCCGTACCCCTCCCCACTGCCCCTTCCCTCCCCCCGGAACCAATTAACGTCCAAGGGCTTTGAAGAAAATAGTCATTTATTGTCAAAGCATCCAACATACCCGGATAAACTATAAAGTTTAATAAATCTTTTCCAGAGGGGCGAGGAAAAAAAACAAACCCAATGGGAAAGGGAAGATAACACGGAACTACCGAGACTCCATTCCACGGGCACCAGTGACACTCGGGGGGAAGGGGAGCGGGTGGGGGGGCCGGGCAGGGGGAGCGCCCGGTGCATGCAGGACCCCGGCCTGCTGCCCGCCGGCCCTGCCGCGCCACCCCTGCCCTTAGCTTCATATCCAAAATAAAAATTTACCCTGACATACAGTTATTATTACATTTAAACCATAAGTGCTTAATAATTTAAGTAGAAACGTATGACAAATGCATCAATATGTTGCAATATATGACATTTTAAAAAATGTATTTTTAAGTCATTTGATTTTTTTTCCTCTTTTTCACGGTGCTTTTCGTTTTGCTTTTTCCTTTTTTTTTTTTTTTTTCCTAACCTTCTTTATTCTTCTTCTTTTTCTTCTTCTTTTCTTCCTCCTCCTCCCTCTCTGCCCTCCCCGCCTCCTCCCCAGACAGTGAAAACGCGTGCATCGAAGGGGAAGGGCCGGAGCGGCGGGCGGCGCGGGGGTCCCAGGGTGGGGGCCCCGGGTGAGTCCCCGAAGCCAGAGGGGGTCCCCGCTAGTTGTGGGAGGTCATGTGGCGGGAGAGATGGTGGCGCTCGCAGAAGGACTCATTGCAGATGGGGCACTTGAGCTTCTCCTCGCGGCGGCGCTTGACGAGGGGCTCCAGAGCGTATTCCTTCTTGTGGTGGGAGCGCATGTGGTATACCAGGTCCGAGGTCATGCGGAAGGACGCGTTGCACTTGGCGCACCAGTTCTGGGCCGGCAGGCACAGCGAGGTGAACGACGGCGGCAGCAGTGTCAGCGCCGACGGCAGCTGCAGCTGCAGCGGCCCCGCCGCCGCCGCCGCCACCGCCGCCGCCGCCGAGCTCTTGGGCCAGAAGGCCGTGGTGTAGAGGAAGGGGCTCTGCTTGGGCAGCCCCCCGCCGCCGCCCCCGCCCGCCGCCTCCCCGCCACCCGGCAGCTTGGCGGCCAGCGCCTCGGCGGTGTATAGGCGGGCGGCGGCGGGGGCACCGTCGGGACAGGGTTCGCCCAGCCCGCCGAGCTTCGGGCCCAGCACCAGCGGCGGGACGTGGGGGAAGGAGCGGGAGGGCTGCGAGAAGGCGCTTTTCCGCTCCTCGGCCCCGCCGCCGCCGGGCCCGCCGGAGCCGGCCCCGAGCTGCGGCACCGTGCTGAAAGCGCTGCTCCGCGCCGGGCTGCCGCCTTCCAGGCGGGCGGCCAGCGGACCCCCCGCGCCGCCGCGGGGACATAGCCCCGGCTCCGCGCCGCCCGCCCCCGGGGAGCCGCGCTCCGGCCCTTCCTCGGGGCCGCCGTCGGGCTCGGGGCCGCGGGCCGCCTTCTTCACCTCCACGAAGGCGCTGCGCTTGGCCTCCCCTGTCTCCGGGCTGGGCGGCGCGAAGAGGCGGCCGCCCTCCTCCAGCCCGCAGTAGGAGCCGGTGGCACGATACTGCTGCTGCGGGGCGCAGCCCGGTTCCTCCTTGGGCGCCGCCGGCAGCCCCGGCCGCTCCGCCGGGAAGCGGCCCCGCGCCGCGCCGGGCCCGCGATCCTCCTCATCGGGGAACCGCCGCTTCGCCTTCCCGGCCGCCGCCTCGGGACCGCCCTCGGGGAGCGCCGGCCGCCCCGGGGACCCGCCGCGCCCGCCGCGGGAATTCTCCAGCTCCCGCGCCAGGTTGTGGAAGTCCGTAGAGGGCTTGGTGCTGGCCGTGGGGCCGCCGTCGGGACCGGGAAAGGGGTGGTGCGGTGGCCCGCCGGGCTTCCCGAACTTGCCGGACTCCTGCTCCTTGCCGGCGACGTCCTTGCCGCCGGCGGCCTCGGCGGCGGGGCCGGTGTCGGGGCCGTGCAGCCTCTTGGGGCAGCGGAACCGGAGGTGTGCGGCGAAGGGTAGCTCGAACTGGAAGCGCTGGCTGCACTCGGGGCAGGCAAAGGGCGGCGAGCCTGCGGCGGGAGGGAGCACCGTCAGCCGGGGCCGCTGACGGAGTATCCTCGGAGAGTTCGGGGAACAGAGGCGCGGGGTCCCCGAAGCCGACAATCGACCCCGAACGCCCCGGCGGCGGGGATCCCTCTCCCTCCTGCCTCCCTGGACCGCGGGCTGCCGCGAGGTGCACTCACCGTTAGTGCGGGCAGGGGCTCGGGCCGGACCGAGTAGCAGCAGCTCGGTGAGCTCCTTCCCGTACCACACCAGCAGCTCTTCGTCCTTAGCGATGCGGCGCAGAGAGCGGTAGAAGAGCTGCCCGCTCTTGATGTAGGCCTCCAGGTTCTGTTCCTCCCGTTCCCGGGCCGACTGTACCAGCCGCAGCCACATCAGGCCCTCCGACGAGCCGTTCGCCGCCGACGTGTCCACCTGAAACCCCGCGTTAATCCACCGGACCGACAGACCGACCGACCGACGGGATGGGGATGGGCAGCAGCAGGAGGGGCGGTGGCACGGCTCTGCCCTCGGGGACAGCCTCCCGGCGGCGGGGGGTCCCCCGGCCGAGCTGCTCTCCGCGACGGGGACGCTCTCGGGCACCGGCCGACGTGGCAAGCGGCTGAACCCGGAGACGAGCGGCTCTTACCCGGAATATGTAGGGGACGGTGCGCTTATCGGTGGACTTGAGGGCGATAAACGCGATGCTGTCGTAGAGGGACGTGTGGCTCAGGACGCAGGGGCCGAAAATGGCATTTTCCGGGATGTCGCAGGTGGTGTAAACGCTGGTGAAAATGTCAGTCAAACACTGCTGGACCGTCTTGGCGTCCCCGTCCCATATTCCCCGCTGGACGCCGGCGTCCTCCATCCCTGTGGGCAGAGAGAGGGACACAGCAGAGCCGTTACCGTGGCGAGTCCCGCGCAGCGGTACACCGGGATGCGCCGGAAAACAAATTAAAAATAACTTGAATTCTTAAATAAAAAAAAATCAAGAACAACCCCCCCCCCAAAAAAAAAAAAAAAAAAAAAAAAAAAGGTAGGCGAGCAGTTTCTCCGGTCTAAAAAAAAAAAAAAAGAAAAGAAAAGAAAGAAAGAAAGAAGGAGTTGCGAGCGGAGGCAAAGTGCAGGAACGCCGCCGCGATGATATACTGTTTCAGCGATCGCGGCGGAGCCGGCTCCGGCCGGGTCCTGTCCCGGGCAGGCGCCGGGCACAGAGCGGCGGCGGATCTCCGGTAACCCCCGAAGCCGGACCGGGCTGCGTGCTGCGCCGGGGGAGCGGGTGGGTTCCAGTGGCTTGTCATTGTCGCCGATTGCTTGTCAGCTCACCTCCTGCTCCGCGCGACAAGGGGAACGTATGGCTGCTCATTACCATAATCCAGCACTTTCCCTCCGAGACTTTAATTAAAAGCAGCAAGGAGAGGTAATTATTTTTACCTCGACACGCTTATTTATGGTGCAGGGAGAGCCCCGGTTGCCGTGGGGTACGAGGGGAGGGATGCGGGCGGCGGGCAGCTGGCGGGGCGCGGACAGCGGGCAGGGCGCGGGGCCGGGGAGGGAGCATCGCGCCCGGCTGCGGTGCCCTCGCCCTTCCCGACCCGATTAGCGCACGGCTGCCTCCCCCCGCCCCATCTGCCATCGAAATCCGTCATTTGGGGCAGGCTCGGGAAAAGACCGGTGCTCCTCCTGGTGCGCCTGCTGACGGCCACCGTCGCTCGCACCGGACACGGCCCCACCGAACCGCCGCTCCCCCCGATTTCGGGGTAAAACCGGATCCTGGCTACCCGGGAACTTCGCCCCCCACAGCGGTGGCGGGGGGTTCCGGGCCCTCCCCGAGAACGAGGGCCGCGGAGAGGGCGCTCTGGCCGTCTCCCCGCCGCCCTCTCCGTTCCGCCGCTGCCCGGCGCATCCCTTCCCCGAAGGGTTGATTTCACCAAACGAAACCACCGGCACCAAACGGCCCCCGCCGAACTTTCCCCCCGGCGCCGGCGGGCCCCGTACGGGTCCCCGCGGCGCCGCATCCCCCTGGTTCCCCGGACCGCCCCCGGCCCCACGGCGCTGTCTCCCCCGGCCGCCCTTTGTCCGGGCCGGGCGGCGCCGGGGCCGCTCCTGGAGGCTCCGCCGCCGGGCTCCATAGCTCGAGCAGGGCCCCGCACCCCGGGCAGGGCCGCCGGCAGCACGGCCATCACCGGCATTGTTCCCGCTCCGGGGCGGCGAGGCGCGGGGGCCGGCGGGGCCCCTCCGCCGGTACTCACCAGGGACGGTGGGGATAATCCTCGCCCCGACAGTGGCACAAAGGCGGCTCCGGGCTGGTTGCCCCAGGCTCTCAGCGCCGCTCCATGCCGGGCCGGGCAGGGCGGGCGGCGGAGCGGGAGGCGTGCGGTGCAGACGGACCCGGTGCAGTGAGGGGCTGGCACGCAGACACACACTTTTTGTTTGCTGCACATAATCTGCCCAATGACGCGTGACAGCCCACGTCCCTCCCGTTAACCCCTTCGGGGCTGCCCGCTCGCCGCCCGCCCGCCCCTCACCTGGCCCCACTGCCACCGGGCACCTGCGGGGAAGGGGATGGACAACAGGGGTGCGGCCCCGCCAGCGACTCTCGCCCGGGGCAGCGGGCGGGTTTGGAGCCGCCGCTCCGCTCCAGCCCGGCGAGGGTGTGGGGCCGGGAACGGAGGGGTCCGACGGCCGCTCCGCCCGGCGCCGGGATTCCAGCGGCGCCCGTCCGCTTTGTCCCCGCACCTGCAGTGTAGGGGCATCTCAGACACGCAGTAAAAGCACTCCTCGGCAAGACGGAGGCGGGTGGGGATGTCCGTGCCCCGATCGGCGGAGCGGCCCTCCCGCGCTGTCGGCGCTCGGCGGAGGCCCGGCGTACGGGGACCAGGCAGCGGGCAATCCCGCACTCCCCGCCGGAGCTCGGTCCCCACCGGAGCGGGGCGGGGGACACCCGGCGGCAGCCCCCCGCCCATTCCTCGCCCTTCCAGAGCGTGGGGGCGGCCGCGGGCTCGCACCCCCGCGTACGCGAGGCTCCCGCATTCACCGACACAGATTCGGGGAGCAGAAGCATCTGCAGATGCTCTGTGCCGAAATAAGAGATTCACTGCACGGAAAAGTGTTTACCGGTCCCTCCCTTTTCGCTGTCATTTCAGGCACAAAACAAATTAAAAAAAATAATAATTTAAAGCCTTCCTTTAAAGTAAACAAAAGGAGAGACAGAGCGTTTTCCAGGGGTGAACGGAGCGGGGTTTGCAATCATTGAGTGGGCTGATGTTTGGCTTTAAAATTCTCTTATCCTCCCCATAATTACGATTTTCCTTGCATTAGGATTAAAGGCTGCATATAATATGCTTTCAACATTTATCTTATTAATTCTACAAAACGCAGCGTCTCCTAAAACGGAGATTGTCATAACATTAAAAATATGGGAATCTAAAAATTTGAAACTCAATTCCTGCTTCAAATACGCGTGGTTGTTTTTTTTTTGTTTGTTTGTTTGTTTGTTTTGGGTTTTTTCCTTGCTTTTTCCTTTTTTTTTTTTTTTTTTTTTTTAAGGTTGCAGCTCTCACTGTGAGATATAAATTGTCCGAATGACTGTCATTAGTGGCGGGGGGGGGGTGGAAATCTAAGCATTATTTTTATTTGCGAGAATTTTAAGAGACACCACGGCACATAAACGATCTCGAAATCGATCGCTTCGGCATGATCTCAGCTACCGAAATTCCCCGTGACGGGAAAGGACCGCGTTGGCATTTCTGAGCATTTGCTAGCCTCGGATGCCACCCTAAAAGTGGATCCCAAGGAACGGCGTCCCTCTCCCCGCAGAACAGCACTGAGAGGGACATGAGCTCTTTCCTTTGGAGTTTCTGCTGCGGGGTCCTCCGGCTGGAAGCGCCCACCGCAAATCCGCAAAGCCCGCCGCCCCACAGAGCCCGGTGCCGGCGGCGCTCCCCCGGCCTCACTGAAAAGCCGCATCGGGGTTTTGGGGGGGACACGGTCCAGGTGCGCCGGGCCTGATCCAGCCCCAGCCGCGCTGCCAGCGGGTGCAGTGTCACTCTGTGGGGCCGTGCGATTGCTGCCTGCCGCCTCCCGGCTGCCACACGCTCCTATCTCGGTACATCCATGCATTTTCTATCCGCTTATTCTTCCCAAAAACCTCCCACGGAGAGCTAAGGGCGACCCGGACTGAGGAGCTCCATCCGCCTTCCACAGATCCCGGCAGCTGGCAGCGCCCTGCCGCTCCCCACTGCTCTCGGCCCCCAAGAAGCACAGCCCCAGCCCCGACGAGCCCCTGGCAACGGCACCGGCACGGCACAACCGGCTCCCGGGCAAGGGGAGGCCCCAGGAGCACCCGGGCAGGACCGGGACCGGGCTCGGAAGGGGTCAGGCTGGTGAACCTAATTCCCACAGACACGCGGCATCCAGCCCCAGCGGGGCAGCCCAGGGTCTGCTGCTCCCCGGCTGGGGGGATGGCTGCAAGGGAAAGAGCACCTGCTCCTCAGCGGTGTCAACCTTCTCTTTCCTCCCTGGCCTTCTCCCAGAAAGATGAGAGGAAAGGGGCCAAGGAGGCTGCTCCACCTGTGCTCAGAAACACTCCTGCATCCCTTGAGAAATGCTACCTGAGCTGTGACATGCATCAGGCCTACGGATGTGTGCTTACTCCTATGAGGAGACACATACACAGCTGAGAGTCAGCTCCCAGGTGACTGATATAAAGTCACCTGTAAAATAAAATCACTGAGAGAATAAGCAAGTTCCCAGAAGTGAATGAGCCCAGCCACACTTGCTCCCACCATGCCAGGAGACCATGGAGAGGAGGCATGAAGGGATGCCCCAAGTTGCCTTGCTGCTCTCTCTGCCCACTGCTGCCAGAGAAAGGGCCAGATGTGGTCCCAGGGGGAGCCACACCAGGCGGAATAGAAAAGCCACTCGAAACCAAATGCAGAGCCACAAGCTTTCCTGGTGCCTGGAGAAACGCAGACAGAACGGTTCCCTTCCCTGGAGACAGACAGGACTCTGTAGTGGAAATAAATTGGGGGCCTCAGCTGAATGACAAACCATCCTTTCTGCATGCAACCAGGCTCATGGATGGTGCCTTTTCTGGGGAAGCCCTATTCCAGGGTGCTAGCGGCATCACCACCACACTGCAGACCAGCACACGGCATACAGAGCAGCGGTGCTTCTCTCACCAGTAATCCTGCCAAGCAGCACATGGATCCCACTGGGAATCCTCAGCCCCACAACCAGACACCTGTGTCCCTACCACCAGGTCCTCACCAGGGCCAATGCACATCAGCAATGTCCTGTCCTGTTTCCAGCTCAGCTCCCAAACACACCTATGGTCCCTGTCCCTTCCTGTTCCCTTTGACCCTTCAGCCGCACCTCACTGATGCAGTGCCCGGGACTCTCAGGTCAAGTCACTGCCATGCCACAAAACCACAAATCCTTAAAAAGGGTCAGACATCAGATTCAGTTATGGCTTACCTCAAGGAGCAAATGCTCCTGGTCCCCAGGAACCCCAGTGAGACCCCACATACCTTCCCCCTCTGCTTTCTCACTATTCAGACACCACAGGTACCTTGGCTGTTCCTTCAGCCCTGATGATGCTCAAACTTCCCCTGTATTTCCTTCCAAGCAAGCATAGAGTCCAGTGAGAAATATTAATTTGTATATCCAAAGGGTCACAGAAATTTTTTTATAGCTGACCAAAACCCAGACCATTGAATATAATACAGGTGGCTGGTTAAATGGCTCATATATAGCCCCATATCACTGCTGACTTTCTATCTCAAAATGGTTTTCTCAGTTTTCTGCTTCTCCTCCTTACTTGGCCTGACAGCAGCACCAAGGTTTAAAACCTGGAAAGCTTTCACCTAGCTTCAACTTCCTTCAAATGTTTAACAGCCTGACGGAGGACATGATAGGCTACGAGGGATAAAAAAGGGAGACAAATGAAAGAGGGGAATTCCTGCATGACTGACATCTGCTTCTGCCTTCTGTACATCCTTGGGTCTTCCTCTCCCTGTATGCCACCACTAGCATCCCATGTTGGGGCAGAGCCCACCCCACTGCATGGCCCCCGGTCATGCTTTGGCATGAGGCCAGATAGAAACCACAAGCTGATGGGGGACACGCTGAAGTTGGGGGATGCTACAGAGGGCTGTCCCTGGCAGGACAGTCTCACAGCCCCTGGCCCAGCACTGCCCAGCGTGGGGTGCAGTGGTGTCAGGGAGTGCCAGGTTCCCTTTCCTTCAGGAGACCTGAGCCTGGCAAAGAGCTGTGGCCTGGATGTCTCTCTGGTGGTGTCATGGCCTCCTTGCTGTCAGGTCTATGAGGATGTCACTCACAACTCCCTACCGGACCCTGGGTGGCCGCCATCTGAGTTACACATGGTCAAGTCTTGGCAGGAGCTGGCTGCCCAAGCTGATCCGACTGTCAGGTGGATGTTTCCCACCTGGGGATGGCATTTTCCTGCGCTGCCTGGGGGCTATAAAGGCCTTGGATGCTCCAGTGAGTGATAGTCCCTAAAGTTTGCAAAGGTTTGCTAAACCCTGGTGCAGAGGGGGTGGGGAGAGCAGTGAAAGGACAGACAGAGGGGGGCAAGGGGAGGGAAAAAAGAAAGATGTGGAGGATTTCAGAGCTGGCTCTGCAACAGCAACTTGATGTGGGTTGTGTGAAGGAGCCTGAAACTTAAAAAGATTTATTTTCTCTAGTCATAAATCTCATCCCGTTGTTCCTCTGACCAACCAAGCATGATAAAGTCCTTTTCCATAAAGTATTCAGTATTAAAGCCACAAAGCTCACCCAATCAGTAGCCATCTGCTTCTCCCATAACTGCTGCTCCAGAAGCAGGGAAAAGCAGCCAGAAGAGAAAGGGCACCACTGTTACAGCTCTGGGACAAATGAGGAGGCACTGAATAGCAGCCGAAAC